GGGTTTAGTTATAAGGGTTTAGAGGATTTTAGAGGTCAAAACTATTTTAGGGTTTAGAATTTTAAGATATAGGTTTTATAAATCTATAATTAGTGGTATTTTTGCAAATGGACACCCTAAGTGGCATTTTTGCAAATGTGCACACAAAAAATGATATTTTTTTAATTGCCCCAAAAAATTATAACTTAAAAAGTAACAAAAAACTCATCATCCAGTGTTCATGATTTTGCCACATACATCACTTTTACTTTTAAATTATAATTTTTTTTTAGTTATACACCAAATTGACCTTAAAGTAAATAAAAGAGGATAGATGTTGAAAAAAAAATGAAGGATAAACGGGGGAACGAAATAAAGAGAAATTAGCAAAGATAACCATAGAAAAAACTATAATTAAAATCTTAACCAAATACCCTAAATGTCATGGTTATTATTTGGCCACATGGGCCATTTTGTTTACAAATCTAATTATTTTAAAAAAATTGGTTATTTGACAAATTAACCCTGAAATAAATGGTGTTAATTATTTTGTTTTTGTTTTGGCAGAACGTGGGAAAAATAATTTGGAAGATTTTAAGTGCTTTTTCCAAAACCTGTTTTTTTCAAATAATTTGGAAAAACAGAGGTAAAATAAAATACTTCGAAATTTGTAGTGAAGACCCGTATTAAAAAAAGCTGATGCCATACTCCAAATATAACGACAAAGTCAAAGGTAGCATGGGAAGATCTTTGCCTTCCAAAGAACGAGGGAGGTCTGGGGATACGTAAACTGCAAGACTCTTCAAAAGTATATTCACTGAAGTTAATATGGAGATTGTTTGATAACTCTGGCTCTCTCTGGGTAGCCTGGACAAGACAATACCTTCTTCGGAATAATTCGTTTTGGGACATCTCGGCGAAAACAAAAAGGGGATCCTGGATGTGGAGGAAACTCCTTAAGCTCCGGCCACTTGCTGCAAATTTTCTGAAAGTAGATGTGAAAGATGGTTGTTCTACTTACTTATGGTTTGATAACTGGCTAAGTATAGGACCTTTGATTGACATTTCGGGTGAAGTGGGTACAAGACTTCTTGGCATCAGAAGAGAAGCCAAAGTTTCAGAAGTTATCAGAGGGAACAATTGGGCTTTAAGGCGAAGTCGAAACCGGAGCGTTCAGGACATAATCACATACCTCCGGACAGTTTCGATACCAAATGATATGGCTGGACAAGACCGGATTCTCTGGAAGTAGAAACAAGATACATACGAATGCAAGTTTTCGACAACATGGCATCAAATCAGAACTAGCCCCCATGGTTGAATGGCATCGACTGCTTTGGTTTCCACAGGCTATACCGAGGCAAAGATTCATCACATGGCTTGCTTTTCGAAACAAGCTATCAACGGGTTCAAGAATGAGGCAATGGGGGATGACTCAAGCGTGTCCGCTTTGTGGAGAACCAAACGAGACTAGGGACCACCTATACAATACTCTTATACAATATGGGACTTGCTCTGCTCGAGGTTGCTAGCTTTTAGAATCAACCCTGACTGGAACTTAACGGTACACTCTTTGCTGCGTAACAAGCGCTCTCACCCTTGGATTCCATGCTCTCTAAGCTAGCTTTCCAAGCAACAATATACTGGATTTGGAAAGAAAGAAACGGGCGATGTCATGATCAACCGCGTCGCACTCCAATGCATTTGGCTCATGTCATTCATAAGGAGATCAGCAACAAGCTTCTCTCTCTTGGTGATGACGCCGCAGAAGTGAACGAACGTTTGCTTCGTTGGAACGAAGTTGCTACACTTCACTGATTTTCTTTCTGTGTTTTCCCAACTTATTATTTCTCAAAACTCTTTTAAAAGAGTAAGAACATGCCTCGGTGGATCAAAATCTTTGTAAGCATTTTGTTTTATTTTTTTTGTTGATAAATAAAATTACATTTCAACCAAAAAAAAAAAAGCTGATGTGTAAGTTTGAAAATAAATTTAGGATTCTTTTTTGATTGAAAACATAAATTTAAAATTATCTCACTAATTTGTATCTTATATGTATGGAGATTACCAGAAGTTCTCGTATGACAAAAAATATCAATCATAAAATTTCATCCGGAGCGCAAAACTATACTACGTCCGTATCCATCTAATGTGAGTGAAACAAATGTCCAAAACGATGTTGAAACAGTAGGAAAAAAGCTAAAACTCAATAGCACAAATT